AAGATGCAGAACAATTAGTTGGAACGTGCATCTGGTTGATGCAATAAAGCTGGATCCAAGCGCATCTTTTCACTTTCCGAAGTCAAGCCAAAGAAGCAGAGACAAAGGTTGATTATTGGAGTTGAAGTCAACTTCTGGTGATCATCAAAGAGGGGAAGACTAATTGAGGGGTATAGTTGCCAAGATAAAGCATGTTTGAAGGGCACTATCTAAGCAAGTCCAGCCTGAGACAAAGGAGAGTTGGTCTGAATGGGAGGGTGCACATGGTTTGCATGGTCCTAGCTTCAATTCCTCCCTGTCTAGGGAAAAAATAAGATTTTGGGGAATCATTTTAGTAGATCTTGGGCCAGGGAGCAGGGCATTAAGGGGGTCAGGAAAGGTTTAAGCAGTTCATAGGAATAGCCAAACCAGTCCATGGGAAGGGAGTTAAGGGAGGGCACACTTAACAGCCATGGCTTTGTTTGGGGCTAAACTGCAGAGGGATGTCATGGCTCTACAAAACCGGGTTGATCTAGAAACTCACATGGGGGTGAACAGGTGGACAGGAAAACAATCTGAGTAAGCTGATCTCCAGCTCTTTCCATGGGGGTGGTGATCCCAGTTGGGTCACTGTACATTTCTTCTCTTTTATTAACCCAAACCAAGGATGGAAATTGGGCAGCCCCATTGAGCACTAACATTTGGCTCAATGGGTCTGGCTTTGTATTCAAGATTAAGGGTGGGAATGGGCCCACCATGCCCCCAAATGGTTATTTGGGTGGTTGAGGTAATTTTAAAGATAGAGATGGGAGAGGCTTGTCTCCCCAAGGGTTTCCACTTTCCTTCTACACTCAAAACCATGAAACAAACAAATCAACAAGAAGGGTTAACTTTTATTTATTTGTTGGCTTTCTTCCAAGAGCAAAAGGTGGTGTGTGTGGCATTCCTTCCTCCCAACTTTTCTCCACAACAACACCTGTAAGGTAGGGTGGGCTGGGAAAGAATGATTGGCCCAAAGTCACCCAGTGAGCTTCTGTGGCTGAGGGTGGACCTGAACTGGGTCTCCCCATTCCTAGTCCAACATGTCAGTCATGTGGGTATCACTTCCTGTGACATCCTGACATCACTGGTTGATTCCCTGAGGCTCATTGGAGGATCCAGAGGTTGACCTTCTGTCCCCCACCTCTCAAACTTTGCCTACTGCTGGACAAGATGGACAAATCTCACTCATTATAAGGCAGTTTCTTGAGTCACCTGCTTCCTAAGGTAACTGTTGGGGCAAGTCTAGCAAGGCTCTAATGTTGGGAAAGGTAGAAGGAAAGAGAAGTAGAGGACCACAAGCAGCAAGGTGGATGGACTCAGATACAGTGGTGATGGCACTATTGGAAGCCCTGAAGGACCAGGTCAGGGACAGATCATCATGGAGAAAATCTATATGTGTGGTCACTAAGAGTTGACACTGACTTGATGGCACATAATCAGTTAATCAATCTAGCAAGGAAATGTACTTCTTGTCCATTGCCTCAGTTCAAGAAGTGGCTGAAATTAAACCAGGCGAGATGGAGGAGCTGTTGGTAAGTAGAAAGTGAGGCTCTGGGGTTCTGAATAGTCCCTCATTCTGGAACTCTGCCTTGACCCCTCAGTGTCTTTGAATTTCCACTAGCAAGAAAAATAGTACCTCATGTCTCAGCTGTAATAGTTCCTTAGCCAGTTGGGCTGCTAATAGTTATCTAAAGCTTGACTGCATCCTGACACTGTACATGGGGATGCCCTTGAAGAGTATCTGGAACCTTCTATGGATGTTAGTTGCAATAGGTAGCAGCAAGCATATCATGCCCATGTTAAAAGATCTGCAGTGAATGCTAATTGATCTCCAGATACAATCTAAGGTTTTGGGTTTAACCTTTGAACTCTTAAATAGCTTAGGATCTTTCCAAGGTCTGTTGATCAGGCAGGTTGAAAGGGGTTGAGCTCAAACTTTGGGAGGAGTAGCATTCCTTGTGCTTTTAGAAAGGATGGAAGACCTTTTTACCCGACTATTTTATTTTCTATTGTTATTACGCACCTTGACTGTCCTAATGGACAGAAAACTGGAATATATATAACAAAATAACATAGATCAGTACATTTTAACATAGTGCATAAGTTAATAGGGCTGTGCATCCTTTGAAAAAAGATTTAAATAATGTGCTTTGGATCTTTCCCGAGCACAGCACCTCTTTGCTATTCATTAAAATAGACTTTTTTTCCCAGGCTCCTGCAGAAGCCTGAAAAAGTTGTGCTGCTTAATGAATAGCTCCCAGAGGTTCTGAAGAACTTCCTCTGAATTATTTTTGAACTGTGCATAGCCCAGTGTGTCAACTTATGGAAGCAAAACTAGCCACTAATTTAGGATTATAGTTGGCCAATTGTAAATTGTATGTTTTTTAAAAATGTAACTCTCCTTCAAGATGAATTTAACTGCTAGTGACTATATGGACATGTTTTCTTGGGAGCAACATAAAAGTGGCTTGCTATTGTCTTCTTCCAGGATATTTTTTCAACTTCCCAGTTTAGCTCAAAGTCCTCTGATTTCCTGGTTGTCTTCCACCCGAGTACAAACCAAGCCTGACCTTGGTTGCCTTTCTGAGATCAGCCAGGTTCACCCAGGTGCTGCTATCTCCTGGGTTCTTTGCATACGAGCAGTATTTAAATGGACAATCCCCTGGGAAGATGCACATCCAGCAAACAAGCTCTTCAGTTTTTAATTCAACTTTTTGCTGGATTCAAGTTCACTCACTGATAAACTGTCTAGACAAAAGCAAGTATACTTGTGGGCTTTGGTTTTACCACAGCCGGCTCACTTCTTGGAAAGTTGTGTGTTCTGCATGTGAACAAGCCAGATATTTCTTACTGGACTTAAAAATCAGCCACATTCAGTTCTTCTCTTTCGAAATGTTGGATAAGCTTCCCAGTGTCTTTCCAGTTTCCTTTGGTTTGTCTGCATTTCAGAGAATTTATGCGCTCGGAAGCATACCTATATATCCCAGATCGTTTCCTGGTCTTCTTTGTTAGGGTGGCAACCCGTAATACTTCTTAAATAGGCATCAGATAACCTACCCATCCGATAACTTTACCTCTGCAGGAGGGAGCCCGGTAATAAACTTCTTCAATCGAAAGCTGTGGTTGTGATCAAGTGCATCACTTACCTTCTGGAGAAAGAAAACTTGTCTGGCTGGAGAAAAATCTCTCCTGATAAGCAGGGAGTGGAAGGTCTACTCATCTGTAGGCCTCCTTTTTCCTTCTCCAATTTTTCTCCTGTCAGTTTGGAACTGGGCTTTGCTTCTGGCTGATGGTGTGGATTGGAATTCTGCTCAGCCACAGAACTGGAGATACATTGCTGATGAGT